GGCTCCTCAGAAATTCTTTACTTATTTATTTTGGTGTGGTTGTGTACGAGTGCCAAGACGCGCCTGTGACTGTGAAAAGGTAACTCGGGGGAATTAGTTCCTTTCACCACGTAGGGTCTGAGGATAAAACACAATTCCCCCAGCTTGGTGGCAAGCGCCTTTGCCTGCTCAACCATCTCATCGACCCTGTTTTTCTAGAATGTTTTTCCTCCCAGGGCAGATTTTTTTAATCTGCTTGTAAATGATAACGTTCTGTAAAACTTGACTTTTCATTCCTTTTTTTGAGTGTGGAAGAACTTTTACCTCTGCTATGACCATCTCTGTGGAGTGTGCTTTCAGTTCCCGGTCCTGAACTCTTGTGTGGAGTGCTCTCTCTTTTCAGCTCCTCAAGCCAAGAATGGTATCATGGAAGTTTGATGATGGAAAATTTGATCAGCTCCATTTTCGGATAAAAGCTGCCCAAAGTGGGTTTTGCTCATAGATAATGGAGCTGGATATCAACATCATCCTGTCCTTAATGCATTGATTCAAACTGAAATTAAACAAGACTCAGTATGGCTCCTTTTCTTAGTCCATTGCCCTTCCATTTCCTTAGAGCGCCCAGACAGAATTGTTTTGCTGCTTGGAACAATGTGATTAATTCAGTAAGCAATAGAAAGGCTTCCTACTTACGTGTTGCTTAGGATGCTCTCATGCAAGTTAGGGCGTCTTCTCTCTCTGGGTGGCCTGCTCAGATACAAGTGGCCGAACAGGTATTTCTCAGTGATCCAGTAGGTGATGGCCACATATTTAATGATGACCACAGGAAAAAGAACAGTATATTTTTTTCGTTATTTGAAAATAAAAAAAAAAAAAGGATACTGTCTCATAATAAAGAAACCAAGATGATTCTGCTAGCCCGTCAATATCAGCAAAGAAGATACCATGTTTAATACGTGTCAAAGGCTGCCGTAAAATTAATAGATATGCTAACTGGTAACCTCAGAAACAGCGGGCTTGAGGTTAGACTCTGGCTGTGGCTGGGTGGGATATGAAGTTGCTTTTACCTTTCCTTCGTTTTTTTTTGGGGGGGTGCATTCTAGTGAGCCGCAGATCAAAAGGAAACTTGGTAAATTCTCATTCAAGAGCAAAATTAGAGTCTCGATCTGTAAGTTTATTTATAATGATGTTCTGTAACAATCAGGTCACTCTTCTGACATATTAAAAGAAGTATTTTAGGTTCAGCATAGTCATTTATTCATTCATTTACTTTTAAGAATTTAAGTATAATTTTACATTTAGAAAAGGTTGCACACTTAGTCGTTGGCAGTTCAATTGGGCATTATTGTCCCCGGGGGGTTATGTGGGGAGGCTGGAAGATCCTCGGGCCCTCACTCCAGATTGAGTGAGAGAAGAAATTGAGGAAGTATCTCTAAGTCATCTCTAGCCGCTGCACATACGTATGCACTCACACACACACACACACACACACACACAGCCAGTGCTTTATGTCACCAATAGTCTGTTGGTTCTTTGAGATAAGCTTGTCCAGTCATCTTTTGTCGTACCAGCGAGAACAAATACTAACTTAAACATTTCATTTTTCTCTCTCCCTTTATTTCTTCCACTTCCCGTAGGCCGGGACGCAGATCAGCCTGGCTGATTTACCATTTTCCAATGAGATTTTCGTGCTGTGGTATAATTTACTTCCTTCCAAGCAAATACCTTGCAAGAAGAATGAAGAAGAAAATGAGGAGCCGGTAGCTCAGTCAAGCCAGTCAGAACTGGATTCTCTGGACTTGGTGAGTCACCGCTGGGAAACAGCACTGTTGAGGTGCGGTAGTATAATGTGGACACAGATTGCGGAAGACAGGGGCCTTGCTCTCATTCAGGAGGGCGTTTGTTTCGTTTTATTTCTCTGAGACAGGATTCATCTGTGTAGCCTTGCCTGTCCTGGACTCACTCTGTAGACCAGGCTGGCCTCAAGACCTGCCTGCCGGAGTGCTGGGATTACAAGCACGTGCCGCTCATGCCTGGCTCCATTCATGAGTTTTTCTTCCTCTTCTCTCAGCTCCTCTTCGCTCCTAGCATCCTGAGAAAGATCATTTCCAGCTTAGATTCAAGTGGGACTTAATCTCCCATAAAAATAGTTACTTGAGGTTTTGTTGTTTTAAATGGTCGTGGAAACCTTTAGATTTTAATTCATTTTTTGTTCATTTTGTTCATGTATTTGATGCCACATTTGAAACACTTCCATTTTGTAAATTTCCAGTTATCATTCTGGAGGCATGTTAATTTTCCAACCTTGGTTATTAGTATTCTTAAATCTTTTTCTGTCAAAAAGTTTGTTGTGAATATTAAGTAGTTTGTTGACATCCACTGAAAAGTTTGCCATCACCAACAGTTATACATGATACTTAAAAAGAACACAGAAGTGTTTCTTGTGAGGCTGTTCATCATTAGTTATCCTTTGAAAATCTTGTCCCTTAGTACAAACAATTTTAGATTATCTGGGAAACAGTAGTTATTAATCAAAAGTCAAATAATTAAGCCAATGGTGTATTGATCATCTATGGGGAACTGTGGTGGACATCTTGGTAGGTGATAAGAGAAGGGAAACATGGTGTGGGGTTTGTACTCACGTCCAGATTTGTGGAAGATGGGCACGGCAAACAAAAGGGTGGAATGTAATTCCTATCTTTGATAAATTCTCTGAAATCGCTGTTCCGCAATGTAAATCATAAACCACGCAATTCACCCATGGGAAGCGTACGACTCAAATGTCTCTTCACACTTGCAAAGCTGGGCAACTGTCTCCACAGCCGTAGTCGTAGAATGCTGCCATTGTCCCAGGCTGTGCCCCATACCTGTGACCAGCCATTCACGTCGCCCTGCTCCTTGAGTTGCTTATTCTGGGCATTTCCTGTGAATGCCGGCGTGCAAGCTTTGCTCTCATTTCTTTCACGTGGCTTATCAAGGTGTGCCTGTGGGACTGTGGCAGACTCCTTCCTTCTTGTCTCCAGACAGTGTTCTATCGTAGGTGCCCCACTGTTTGTTACCACTCCTCAGCTGATGTGCATTTGGTTATCTCTGCATTTTCACTACTGTGAGTGATGCTGCCCTGAAAACTTGTAGCCTAGTGTTTGTGTGGACAGATGGAGAAGTGTGCTCACCAGGTTGCATAGTAATTACACTTAACATTTTGGAGGACTGCAAACTGTTTTCTTGACATATAGATATATAGATTAGTTTCTTATTTTACTATTGAATTATAAAAATTGTGTGGGGTGTGGTGTGTGTGTGTGTGTGTGTGTGTGTGTGTGTGTGTGTGTGTGTTGCATGTATGAGGGCATGGTACTTGTGCAGGCCAGAAGGGGGCGTCGTTTCTGCTGGAGTCAGGCTTAGAGGATGTTGGGAGAAGCCTGCTTGGCTGTAGGGACTGACTTAGGACCTCCATCCCCTTGCTCCCAGCTTTAGAGGAAGCTTTTCACCATGAAATGAAAGATTTTCAGAAATGCTTCCATCAGATTGAAGAAGACTTTTTCCCAGTCACCTGAATGTTTTTACCATTAAAGGCTGTTGAATTTGCCAAATATTTTTTTAGTATCTACTTAACTTTTCATATAGTTCTCCATCCTTCATTCGGTTGCTGTTGTTTCATTTTAGGTGTTAAATTAATCTTGCATTGCTAGGGTAAATTCTACTTGATTAAAAAAAAAAAAAAAAAAACACCTTGTATGAATTGGGTGTTTTTGTTATTGCTGTTTTAAATAAGCATCAAATACTTCAGTGAGGACTGCTCTCTTGTGTCTGCATCTATTGTTTCTTGTACTGGCTTTGTGCTTTTCTGTATGTGTGTATATATCCATTCTGTGTGCATATATGGAGGTCAAAGGACAACCAGCTGCTTGTGTCAATCGCCTTTAGGCATCGTCCACCTCGGGTGGCAGAGTATATCCTAGAGAATGCCCTGTGCGCACTGGAGAAAAATGCTTGTCAGAGCATCCTACGGGTGCTTGTCAGTTCTGTGCTGTTACACGAATCTTATTTCACTTTTTATCCTCTTCTAATCTCTGTCTTTTGTGTTTCTTTTAAGGAAAAAGCCAGTGGGGGAAATTTACAACAAAGTGCACACATCTTACCCAAGCAGTGAATTAGTGCAAAGCAATGGCACCTATGTAGCCGTGGCCACATTAAGTCACAGTGTGTTGCCATCACCTGCGAATGCTCCGCTGTCCCCTCCCCTGCTGTTACCACAGTCTCCCAGAGATGTCGCCCCCACTTTATGTCTGTATTACATGTCTTTGAATTTGGCGCAGTTCGAGTCTGCCCCTTGTGTCTGGCATCTTGTGACACTCACCTGTTATCCGTGTAATTACAGCTCATTCACTCTCATTGTCAGGCAATATTTTACCGTCTAATCATATCTCAGTTCATCTGTTCTGTTGCTGCTGAGCGTCTTGAGCCGTTACTAGTTGTTAATAGTGTTGAAATTAATCCATGTGCATACAGTTGATAAAACTAGTCCTGCCTCCTTTCATTTTAGCTGTTTGGGTGTGTGAATAGCACTACCTTACAGTTTTAATTTTCATGTCCCTGATTATAATATACATACTTCTAAATGGGAGGCATTTTTTTATAACGTGTATATTTTAGTTTTTAATGCATTTTCTATTATATTTTGTTTTAGTTTGGTTGGAGACCTTGAGCTTGAAAATGAGTGTTTTAAATTAATTTTATCACAAGTGTCTTACTTTCTGTAACTTACCTTTACATTTTTATAATGTCATCTTCGATAAAATCCCTCAGTTTTTAAAAACAATTTATTTTTATTTTATGTGGACTGGTGTTTTGCCTCCATGTATGTCTTTGTGAGAGTGTTAGATCCCCTGGAGCTGGAGTGACAGTTGTAGCTGCCTTGTGGGTGCTGGGAATTGAACCAGGGACCTCCGGAGGACCAGACAAGCGCTCTTAACCACTGAGCCATCTCTCCAGCCCAGGAAACACTCAGTTGCTTCTTTTTTAATATGGAATGCTTCAGGAATTTGCGTGTCATCCTATTAGCAGAGGCCACGCTAACATTCTCTGTATTGTTCCAACTTTAGTGTATGTACTGCCAATGCGAGCATAAAACAGGGTTTGTTTTTTTCTTTTCTTCACTCAGTTTTAATGAACCTTTGTCAATTTTCCCCTTTGTGCTATGAACTTTCCCTTTAAGAACTGTTTGGTGGCAGGGCCTGAGAATTTGTGTGTGTGTGTTGTCTTACACAGGCTTTATTGCTTGTCTTTCAGATTTAGTATGCGATTCTTATGAAAATAATCTGCTTAGGACATGAGGTGTGTAGGCCAGGCCTCCTTCCACCGTGTGGTAGCTGGTTCACCCAGCATGGTGTAGTGAAGAGGCGCCCCCAGCTGCACCGCACTGGCTGCCTTTGCTGTGAGCCTGTGGCCTGAATGTGCTCTTCCATTCTGTTCCACGGCCTTGGTTGTCTGTCTTTGTGGCAGTGCTGAACCTTTTGAGAGCCTTACATAGCCTAGCATCTAAAATGATTTTTCTGGGCTTGTTCATAGGTAATCATTAGCAGGGGATGGACATGGATACCATGATGCTTAGGTAGAGGTTAGGGGGTGACTTTCAGTGGTCTGCTCTCTACCCTGATTGTGGCCTCCAGGGACCCAACTCGGGCTGTCCTGCCTGCGCAGTAAGCGCATTTACTCTGCACCATCTTGCCAGCCTTGGCTGACTTTTGGGTATTAAAGTATTTTTGGATTATTAGACTAAAGCAGGCTTTACTATGGCATATTATATACACATGTGTATGTGTGTGTCTGTGTGTATACTGAATTTGATTAACTGATTTTTTTCTCATTTATTTTCTTTTTTTTCTTTTTTTTAATTTTTTTTTCTCATTTATTTTCATTTGAAAAATTAGTCTTTTTCTTGTGATGTCAATATCACTCTGGCACTGAGGTTTTTCTTCATTGTGTGTTAGGAAATATCTTTTTCTAGTAACTGCAGAAGCTCTTATAATTATTAGATTTGCCAAGTATCTGGTAAGAATGCATAAAAAGGCACAGATTACTGCTATCAAGAATGAAATTAATACAACACAGTCCTCATAGACATGAAAAGATAATAAAATACATCGTGCCGATTTTAAAACTACTTTTTTCCTTAATTATTTGGGGGGAAATGTATCAACCAAGCCTGTGGGCAGCCTCCTAAGCAGCAGCCAGGGAAGACACTGAGTGTTCGGGCCTGCAGCCCATCTGCAAAAGGCCATGCTTAAACTAAAGGCTTGGTTTCTTTACTAGCACGTGTCTTACTTGAGGTTTTATTGCTGTGAAGAATAAACACCATGACACTGGCAGCTCTTACAAAGAAAAACATTTAATTGGGGCTGGCTTACAGTTCAGAGGTTTAGTCCATTATCATCATAGTTGGGAGGATGGCGGTGTGCAGGCAGACACGGTGCTGGAGAAGGAGCTGAGGGTTCCACATCTTGATCTGAAGGCAGCAGAAGGAGACTGTGTGCCACACTGGGTGTAGCCTGAGCACCTGAGAACTCAAAGCCCACCAACACAGACACACTTCCTCCAACAAGGCCACCCCTACTCCAACAAGGCCACACCTCCTAATAGCGTCATCCCCTATGGCCAAGCATTCCAACACATGAGTCTGTGGGGGCCACACCTTATTCAAATCACCACAGCAGAGGACTGGTCTGGTTTTCTAAACTCGCTGTAGATTTTTGTAGGCTGTGCTTTTTGCAGAATTTGTCTATTCAATATATTTTTATTATGTCATTATTATTGTGGCAGTGCTGGGAACAAGCCCAGGGCTACTTTCATGTTTGCCAAGCACCTAACAGACCCACCCAGCGTGAATCAGCCACAGTACCTTATTGTCCTTCCATATTGCAAAGACTTTTACTCCTGATATTGGCAGTTTGTGCCCTTTTTGTGCACTCCTACCAGAGCCTTGCCAGTTCTCCCATCTTATTTAAACAACTAACTTTGGTCTTGTTGATACTCACTATTATATGTGTGTCTGTTCTGCTCATTTCCACTTTTACCTTATTATTTCTTCCAATCTACCACTTGAGGTTTAATTTGGGTCTCCTTTTCTTCTTAAGACGGGTACTTAGATAGCTGTTTTATTGTCATTGGATTTGGTACTGAAAAATGCTTTTTACAAGTGTGGTAATTACAGAATTATCATGAATTAAAAACACTCTACAGTTTCCATTGTGACTTCTTAATCATAAGTTTTTAAAGGATATTTACTAATTACCGGGTAGTTGAAGCTTTTTAGTTCTGTTACTGATTTCTAGTTTTATTTTACTGTCTTCAGAGAATAGAACCATTTGGCCATGCTTGTTTTGGCTTAGCGTGTGGTATATTTGGGATAAATGTTCAGTTACTCTACAACAAATGTGTTTTGCTATCAACTTGTTAATTTTGTTTTTAGAGTTTCTTACACATAGTAGATTTTCGATTTGCTTGTTTATCATTTACTGACAGAAATATTTAAATCTCATTGAGCTATGATAGCACTAAATATAGTTTTCCTTTTTAGTTGCAGTAATTTCTTTGCATCTGTGTTATTGGTGAATATAAATTTAGCCTTGTAGTGTGCCTCTGTGTCCAACTGACCTGTTACTGTTAGGAGCTATCTCTCCCCCAAACAATGCCTTTTTGTTTTGAAGTCTACTTCATCTGATAGTGGCAAAGCTATGTAAGTCTCTCTCTTTTTTTTTAATGTGCTATCGGTATGGTTTAGCATCTTCCATTCTTTTTCTTTCAAGCTTTTTATTATTTCTGTTGTTCTGCTTGAAAACAGCGTATGGTTGGTGTTGGCTTATTGCCCAGCCAGTGTCTTTACCTTTTACCTGGAATGTTCATTGCAGTTACATTTAATCTGTACATACATTTGGGTTTGCATTTGCCTTGTAGTTGGTTGTTGTTGGCCTCGCCTTTGTTGCCGCCCTCCTTTTGGATTAATCCAAGTTTGTAAATTTCCATTTCCTTCCCATTAGATCATCAGGGATAGGCCCCCCGCCTCTTCCCATATTTGGCACATGTGTTCCGAAACCCACGAGTGGATGTGTTGCCCTACAGACTTCTGTGTGCTCTTTGCCATGTGTCTTCCCACAGTGCTGCAAGGACTTCTCTGTCTTGGCGTTTCCAGACACTGTGCTTGTCACTGCTTTGCCATTTGAAATGTGGCAGCAAAACTAGCCTGCCTTGCCAAGCAGTAGTGCTGCAAGCCTTTAATCCCAGCACTTGGGAAGAAGACACGGGCGCATCAGAGTTGGAGGCCAGTGTGATCTACAGAGTAAGTTCCAGGTGGCCAGGGCTACATAGAGAGACCCTGTCTTTTTTTTTTTTTTTTTTTTTTTTTCCTTCACAATTTCATAGAAGAGTCACTTTCTCCATAGACCTTAGCAACTCTGCACATACATGCATTTTCCTTACCAAGTTGAGCACTTACAGCTTCTCCTTGACAGGCCCGTCTTGCCGGCATCACTACTCTCATGCTTTGGAGTTGATATAACTAGACGAAAGCCGTCATGTCAAGCAGCCCGCCTGAAAGCTGAGGTGGTGTCCATCTGGTTGGTTGCTGATTTCCAGCCTCTGACTCTAGGTCGGGATGTCTCTACTAATTATGTCAGATTCTTGGAGACAACCACTAGCTGAATCCTGCTTTTTAATGGAGCACAGTTAGCTGGTATTAATTTGGTGAGTTAAGGTCATTTGCACTTAGGGTTATTATCGACAGGGGCTTGCTGCTTCCCGTGGTTTTGTTGGTTTTGTTGGTGGTTGACTGGCTGATTGGAGTGTGCGTGTGTGCGTGTGTGCGTGTGTGTGTGTGTGTGTGTGTGTGTGTGTGTGTGTGTATTTTGCTCCTCTCCTCCCAGTGGTAATTACAGAATTATCATGAATTTAAAACACTCTACAGTTTCCATTGTAACTTTTTTTTTTAAACCTTATAGAATTTATCTTAGAAATTCAGTTGGAAAGTGAAGCTCAGAGCTACAGGTGCTCTCAGGCAAACCAAGCATTGACAGATTACACCTAAGCCTGTGCCAGGCTTGTCCTCGAACTCGGCGATCCCCCAGCCTCTGCCTCCCGAAGTGCTCAGATTAAGTGAGGCTGGACAGTGGTGGCATACTCCTTTAAGGTGTTTTGTTCTTTTAACTACTACTTGTTTGTATGGTTTTGTTTGTATGTATGTTTGTGTACTACCTGCATGTCTAGCGACCAGAGGCCAGAAGGTGGTGTCATCGCATCCCCTTAGACTTGAGTTATGTATGGTTGTGAGCACCATGTGGGTATTGAGAATAAAACCTGGTTCCCCTCGAAGAGCCACAGTGTTCTTTACTGTGGAGCCATTTCTCCATTCCTGGTGCCACTTCTTGAAAGGTTCCAGGGCTGATGTAGAACCTGGTGAGGACCATCGGACACCATTGTAACTTCTTAATCATAAGTTTTTAAAGGATGTTTAGTGCTGCCAAAGCCTTTCGAGGTTCTTTCAGCTCCTTATGTGGTGGTTTGTGTCTGTTCTATGTGGTTGTAGATGTCAGTGACCCTTTCACACACTGGGGTGACTTTCTTGTCTGGGCTCTGAACTGATTTCTTATCTTCATTGGTCTGCCGATTTGATTCCTCTATAGGAACATTATTCCTTTTCAAAAGTATAACACTAGAATCCTTTTCTGGAATGTCAGCTAACTTACCTTATTTTTCAGTGTTGGGGTGTCCTGGTGTGGAGTACTGTCTCATACTGGAGGCTGGCGTGTATTCCCTTGTAATTTGCACACTTATTCATATGTACAACACCCTCTGGTGATGATGATGATGATGATTTCCTCATATCCCCACTGCTTTGTTTTGTTTTACATGAAAACTCCTAGAGAGTTGCCACTGTTTAGAGCAGCAGTTCTTACCCTTCCTAATTCAGTCCTCATGTGTGGAGACCCCCATCCATGAAGTTATTTTTTTGCTCCTTCCTAACTGCTGCTGTTGTAAATCATAACCTAGATATCTGCTATGTGACCCCCAGGGGGTGCGACCCACATTTGAGAACCCTGGCTTAGATGGTGCTGCATGAGTGGAGGGAGTGTGG